CGTTCGCGACCAATCGCGGTACAATCTGGTCTCCCTAATCATGAATTTGGCTGGGCACGTCTCCGGCCAATTCTGTGCTGCACGCAATATCCCCGTTGTTTATGACGGCACCTGGTACGATCCGGAGTACGGACGCGTCACCAACAAAAACTTGGCCCATTTTGGCGGTGAGGGTTTCTATGAGCTCAGCGTGCCGCTGGCCTACTCTTCCTCAACCCCAACTAAGCACGAAACCCTGGGCTTGGATACGTACGTCAAGAGCACCAGTCCGCTGCGCAGATACACGGATGTTATTGCGCATTACCAGATCGAGGCAGCATTGCGTTTCGAGCATGAACACGGCCGTCAATTTGACGCTCTTGTTGATAGTCCCGACCCTGCAGATATCGATCTAGTGGACACGGACCTAGCGGAGACAGGTCTAGCAGAGACTGCCACTGAAATCACCATCAATAACACAAACACTACTCCCACCTCTCTCCTCCCCTTCTCCAAATCCGACGTCGACGCCCACCTCATCTACTCCCAGCCCCTGCGCAGACGTCTCAGAAACATTGACAAATTCTCCACCCAGCACTGGGCTTGTATGCTCCTTTTCCGCGCATTCTACTTCTCCGAGTGCAATCTCCCCGTCACATTCCCATGTCTGCTACGCACCCCGCGCACCAAGGCCAGACATCTGGACGAAGAGTATTCCGGTGTCATCACCAGTCTTGGCGTGAACTGCTCGGTCACCATCCCCCAGGACTTCCCAGATAAAGATAAGCTAGATATCTTCTGCATGGTCGAGGCTCACATCACTGCCATCGATATGGCGACTCTACAGGTGACTATGGAGGCGACTAGGTTTGTGAAGCCGTTCGAGAGGAAAGGCGAATGGGCTTAAGTTTGAATGACTACTTGTACAATACTGTATTATATGCATCTTCATTAGGAATCGCCAATCGTTATATAATTGAAGAATTTGACGCCTTGGAGAACATCACTATGAAGCATTCGCAGGCATTTTGTGTTCATGAGCTTATTATCCCGGCTCCCCGGAGATTATCCTCCAAGTTCGTCGCCCTATTTTGTTGTTTCTCCTGCATGGAGGTATCCTTTTTCGGCAGGTAAGTATACAAAACCTCGAATACCAAAGCCATGAATGTAGCAAAGCTGTCATGCAATTAGCCAATGGACTCATTGTACTCAAAACAAAAACAATGTCACATACAATGCAATGAAACTGAATGCCTCGGCCGTATACTTCCGGCTACATACCTCCTCTCCGTTCCAGAGGTGGATGCTGCAGCTGACGTTGTTGAAATGCAGAGCCAGGAAGATGAATGCAGTGAGCCAGCTAGATGGAAGATGAGCATTTACTTTTATCAACACGAGTGTGCTTAATAGTGTCATGCTTACAGGTAAGAAATCGCTGCATCGACCATAAGCAGAGGGAGAACTTGCCATCTGCGGCGTCTGGTAATGCAACTGGTGCTTAGTGTTATGCCGTAGACGATTGGGGTCAGGACCGCCTGTAAGTATTTAGAATTTCTACATTTTGAAGATATTAAGATCTGGTTGGAGAGATGTACCACCACCAAGGAGAAGATCACAGTAAGGGTTTTAGTGTCACGGACTGCCCAGGCTGTGATCCCGAGGACGATCAATGAACTGATGCATTGGATAATATGGGCGATGGTTGAGATTGCACCACAAGGGTGTTTGAAGAATCCCATGTTGATAATAATGAGTTGTTAATTCATCAACTTCTTGAAACTAGTGAATGAATTGTTCAGGGTTCTTTTTCCGAGGAATTAGGGGGGTTTTGTTCCTTTTTCCCCCCATGATGGATGATATCACCACATGTGGCCAAAGTCCAAGACTGGTCTCTTATTGGCAAAACGAGTATAATTTCCACGGGTATATATGGATTAACTATTAAATACTAGATCACCTGAGCAGAATTACCGTACTCTCGACCTAAAAGTCAATTGGACGATCCTCCACACCTGGCCGAGTATACTTTTCACCCTGAGGAACGTGTCTCTTGGTACGAACAGACGGTAAGAGATCAATGACAAAAGAAAAGACAAAGAATGCGAATATAAGGGCGGCAACTGCTTAACTTAGCTTCTTTTCGCACAATGAAACAGGGCTGAAAACTTACCCCATTCACAAACAGCTGCAGCGTTCTTTTTATTTCCAGACTTCATGCATACGCCAAATGCAATCGCGACACCGAGTTCGCACACGACGAAAAGAGCTTTGATAGCGAAGCTGACTATTAAGATCCGGGCTTGTGGGTGGTAGAATCGGCCGATCTGAATGTATTCCAAACACACCAGGAGGGCGCAGATCACATAGCTCGCGATGAACATGGCCAAAAACCCGTTGTGCAGGTTGTTGTGATGCTTGGTGTCGAAGATGGACAGAAGAATAAGACCCAGAGCCCCAGCAATCGAGAAAAAAATCGATCCAACAGCACAGGTCTTGTCGAACCTCCCTTTGTTTCGGGCAAGTTGGCCGGCATGGCGAAGCCAACGTTCAGAAAGGAGACCAAGATCCATGAATACGACTGTTACTACACTGCCTGCAATGAACAGCGGTTTGAGTCCTTCGGCTCCGATATGGGAAATGTAACTGGTTGTTCAATTGATTCAGTCTATGTTGGCAGCATGTTCATTAGTTAGACTCACGGAATGGTGAGCCCATCGCTCATGGTGGAATATATCGGCTTTCCATCCGCCGCCCAGGTGGACAGCATGGCTACTAGTGTAGCTACAAGGCTGTCAGTAAAGTAAGCTCAATCCCTCGTGCGTTTACCCTTACCTATCCACATGCACCCGGATATCACGGGGAAGATCCAGAACGAGAGAATCCACATGGTGGCTTGTTATGCGACCCGTGGGGTGCCGGAATCTTCAGACCGAAAGAGTGGGATGCCTGGGAAGAGCTTGTATTTATGATTGGTTGCAAGGGGTACTCCTTCAACAATTTCAATCTAAATGTCTCGCCTAAACATGAATGTGAAAAGTCAGGGGTCGCAAGCAAGGGGGAAAATGGCGGGTCTACCACGCCTGGCAGCAAAGATCCCTAAAATCTAGCAATGCAACCCCACAGATCTGAATTACCGAATTCAGGTACGGAGTACTCCATGTAACTTCATCGCGGACAGCTTCTATCTCGGACGCGTCCCGAACCGGATCAACCGGATGCTGACATCAGCAGCTTTGGTGGAGCCTCTTTCAGCCTCATTTTCAATTGACCATGAGGGTGCTCGTGTGATGAGGGTGGATAACTTGGAAGGAGTCTGTATTGTTCAGATTATTTCCGACTGAGAAGCTTTGGATATACTTGGTGATAGTAATCATCATCGCCCCTCATAGCTGGCGCAGGAAATTTCAAGGTGGAGCTAGCGATCTCGTTCACAGTGACTGGAAGTGCATTTCTGAATTCGAGGGTGATGTGATACTTTTGTCAGGAAACAGGACCTTCGAAAGAGTACGGACTCCAGTTGAGATTTTATAAGTCTAGCTGCTTGTTCAAGCGAGCAGTGTAAAGATGATGTGACTCAATGAGGTCCTTGAGTTTGCATCGGGGCATGATGATTCCTAAAACACCTTGCAGCAAGAAGCTCTGGAATGCGTCCGGTGATTCTGTAGAATGGTTCTATGGGTGAGTTAGCTAGAGATGTTTGCGCAGTCGTTGGGTGGCAAACCTTGAAAACATTCTGGATCGATATATTCTCAGCGGTGGTGGCCTGAGAAATAATATAGCCCAGCAATGTCTTGTAGATCTTAGCTTTGCACTGCAATGATTGGAGCTGCCCGTACTAATGTTATCGCTTGGCACCCATGTTGATGCAGATCCGATTCAGGTGTTGGCAGGCATGGCACTTCGCCGCTCATCAGGTGAAGATAGAGTAGCTTTATACTACCGATCCTAATAACCAAGTCCTAGGCCTGCTACTGGTCCCACAAGGAATTGCGGCTCGCCAAATTGGGCTTCAGGGTTTGGTCTTTGCAGGACCTGGTATCAAGACGCCAAGAAGTTCAAGAGGTTCATGCCACATGATCCATGATGTACGAGTGTCACAAACGAAGTAAGAGGATGTGTGTACTTTCATATTTTCTTACACATCACGGTTGATGTCACTTATTGGCGAAGAAGAGAGTCAAAACACGAGATGACTCTGGTCATGTGACTATGAACTATATATCTTATAGAGTTCGATGACGTAGACTACAACAACAACACTCTCACTGAGATTATTCTTTAAATAACTGAAAAAAGTACGGTGCAAGTATATCTTCATGTATATTACGCCATTGGCTGGATAGTAACTCCACTAATAAACAAAGCAACTAGTCTTCTTGACTTCGACTTCCATACCCTATCACAAGTCTGGAGTACAACCTTGTAAACGTACGTAGATACAACAAAGCTGAGACTACGGTGTAAGAAAAAAATACGTAGTTTTAGTCACGGTGATCTCATTCCAGTTTATGCTGGTTGGCTATAGAATTGACTAGGATGTACGGAGTAGTCAGTACAACTCTCCAGGTGCATATAGTTGGCAATATGTTTCTTGGCAGGCCCTGAGCCATGACGCAATTGTTTTGGGATCTTGATATATGGCGTATTTGCACAAATCAAGGATGATGGCCAGGTTTCTAGGGCCTGTTTCTAATTGAACCCTTCTATGACAATACCCTGAATTAAGTGGCTGACTGATTGGCTATGTACATCATGTCCAATAGCAGATCGTGGCACCTGAAGGCGTTTGCTATACTTTGTGTGAATGTTTGTACACCATCAGGTTGAAAACACGAACGTCATGAATTCCAATGTTTGCCTGCGTCTTGTCTATCAATAAAGTGGATATAAATACCCCTCTTCCCCCTGGGGTAATCGATTCTTACTTTCTCCATCTATCACATCCCACATCTACTTGACATCAACTTCAACCAAATTTCATCAACACCATCAACACTATCACCACCATCACCACCACCAACATGCAGTTTGTACGCAAGGCCGAAGAGGCCCTGACTGGCAAGAAAGACGAGTCGCACGATTCGACTAAGTCCTCCAACCATGGACCTCACTCGTCCAAGTTGGCCAACAAGCTTGACCCCCGGGTCGACAGTGATAAAGGTTTGTCATTCCACCTCACCACATTCCACCTTCAGAATATCAAATGATGCTGACTACCTTAGACCACCGTGCTGCCCACACTGATGTGACTGGCGCCGGTCTTGGATCTACACACGGCACCACCACCGCTACAGGCACTCACGGCACTACTCACGGCACCTCTGGTGTGACTGGCGGCGGCGCCGGCCTCGGATCTACACACGGCACCACTGGCAGCACCAATGCCGGCCCCCACAGCTCCAACATTGCCAACAAGGCTGATCCCCGCGTTGACTCTGACCGCGACAACCGTGCTGCCCACACCGGTGTGACTGGCGCCGGTCTTGGCTCTACCCATGCCCCAACCACCACTACAGGCACTCACGGCTCGACCCTGGGTTCTGGCACTACCCACGGCACCTCAGGTGTGACTGCCACCGGTGCTGGTCTCGGGTCTACCCACGGCACCACTGGTAGCACCAACGCTGGTCCTCACAGCTCGAACATCGCCAACAAGGCCGATCCCCGCGTTGACTCTGACCGCGATAACCGCGCTCGTCACGAGGGCCTCACTGGTGCTACTACCGGTGCTGGTCTTGGATCTACTCACGCTACTCACGGCTCTACCCTGGGCTCTGGCACTACTCACGGCACCTCTGGTGTGACTGGCACTGGCACTGGCGCCGGTCTCGGATCTACTCACGGCACCACTGGTAGCACCAACGTTGGTCCTCACAGCTCGAACATCGCCAACAAGGCCGATCCTCGCGTTGACTCTGACCGCGACAACCGCGCTCGCCACGAGGGTCTTACTGGTGCTACTACCGGTGCTGGCCTTGGATCTACTCACGGCACCACCACCACCACTGGCACCCATGGTTCGACCCTGGGCTCTGGAACTGGTACCACCCACGCCGCACCCATTGCTACTCCCGGCAGCAGCAGCACCAATGCTGGACCTCACAGCTCCAACATCGCTAACAAGCTCGACCCCCGCGTTGACTCGGACCGTGACAGCAATGCCCAGCACTCCAGTCTCTCTGGCACTGGCCCTGGTACTACCACCCACGGTACCCACAGTCGCGGTGCTACTGCTGCTCCCACTGGCTCGGCCATTGGTGGCTCGGGTCTTGGTACTACTGGTCACCACGATGCTCTTGCTGGTAGTAGCTACAATACTCCTGCCACTGGAACCACCACTGGTGCTACTGGTACCACTGCCCCTCACAGCTCGAGCATCGCCAACAAGCTTGATCCCCGTGTCGACACCGATGCTACCCATGCTCAGAGTGGACTTCACCGTCAGATCTAGGGACTTTGAGAACTAAACCCTTTGGTTTCTATCTTTATGGGAAAGAGTCAAACACTGGGGCCTTGACATGATGCCACGAATTTGAAATTAATAGCAAGCAATTTAGTTTTTGAATACCACAAATGAATCAATTCTTCAATGTTTTTTGCTGCATAATGTTGTACATGTTTTGCCCGAGTAGAGAGTAATATAAGCCCACAGGTCTCCATCACTCACCTCAACTCTAGATTTTAGTAGATTTTCAATATTGTACAGTGTGGTTGCCTCGATCTTCAAACATCAAAGACCTCTTTCACAAGTGCCTTCTTATTAACCTTTCCCATGGCATTCCTCGGAATAGCCTCCAAAACCCTCATCTCCTGTGGAATCTTAAAAGAAGCAAGAGAACCTTTCAGCGCCCGTCGCATATCCATCGGACCCCAGGTTTGGCCATTACGACCTGACGCAGCCGCATCAGGAGATAGAACAACGACAGCAGCAATTTTCTGACCCCACTGTTCAGACGGCAGACCAACGACCGCAGCCTCGGTGACTTGGGGACTAGAGTACCATCATAAGTATAGATCTCCCAAGTGAATATCCGAAAGAGAAGAGACAACTTACAGAGAAAGCAACTCCCTCTCAACTTCCAACGCGCTAACCTTCTCGGCCCCAGTCTTGATAATATCAACACTCTTCCGTCCCTGGATGAAATACATCGGTCCCTGAGCCCAAGCTCCGCTCGCTCCACTACCAGCTCCATCAACTACCCTCCGGGTGGCGACATCGCCTGTGCAGAACCACGCTCTGCCTCCATCATCGCTCTGCACGAAACTCTCGCGCGTGGCTTTCTCGTTTCCCCAGTAATGGTCGAAGATTGTTTCGCCGCGGAGCTGGATCTCGCCTTCGCGTTCTCGGCCATTGGCATTCTTTTCTTCAATGGGGATTACAGCACCCGTCTCGAGGTCGGCGAGTCGGGCTTCAACACCTGGGAGCGGCCAACCGACGCTGCCGTCGACGCGGTCTGCGGCGTCCAGGCCGCAGCTGATAGCCATCCCGACTTCGGTCATGCCGAAGCGCTCGAGGAGGACGTTGCCGTTGCTGAGGTTTGTCCAGGCAGTTTTAGTTGGGGTTGGGAGGGCGGCAGAGCCGGATATGTTTAGGCGGAGGTTTTGTGGAGAGATTCCTTCTTTTGCAGCTGTTTGGAGCTCCGGGGTTAGTTTGGGGAAGGTGGCCATAAGGCGGTTGTAGATGGTTGGAACGGCAGTGAGGAATGTGATGCGTGATTTTGAAGTGCTGGATGGGAGGAAGGGTGCTGCTAGTCGTTTCCAGACTTTGTCCGGGTTGAAGGGATACATGAACTCGATTGAGGAGCCTGCTACAATAGGCGCCACGATTGCGTTTACCACGCCATGAATGTGGTGGAGTGGGAGTAGATGAAGAAGTCGGTCATCCGGTGTGTACTTCCATGCCTCGAGTAGTGAAGATGCTTGTGCGGCCAGTGCTGATTGGGGGATGAGAACACCTTTCTATGCCGTGTTAGCAATAGCTCCTTGGGTGTGGAGAACCAAGTAAACCTACCGGTCGATTCGTGGTCCCAGATGTATACAACATCATCCCACCGGACGAAGGTTGCTTCAGATCATGTAGGGTTACGCTCTCGCGGTCCGACGCGCCCTCTGTGAGCTTATTGCGGATAGCAAACAGAGGCTCATGTTCCAATCCCTCTCGCAAGATTTCCATGCCTTTATCGGCATACTTTTCAGTTGCCAGAAGCACTTTAGCCTGCGAATTATCCAGGATATACTTCAGCTCTGCAGTCGGGAAAGACGGCGACAGCGGGAGCGCAATGGCATCACTAGCAAAGATCGCCAGCAGCGTCACTACATAGCCATTAGTACTCTAGATATATTTTTAGGATTCAAGACAACAGTACCTACGTAGTCATAGCTGTTCTCCGCGAGGAAGGCAACCCGCTCGCCAGCCAATTGGCCCTGGGCTTTCGCGGCCTTTTGTTCCAGGTCGTCCTTAGCGCGGACGATGTCGGCAATTAGACTACCGTATGTGAATGACCGGGAAGACGCGCTATGAACGACAGCCAGACTTTCAGGGTCATGGTTCTGGATTGCGCGGAAGATATGTGTGTTGGGGAGAGTCGACAAGAGTCTTGCGCTGAAAGGCGTTCGCCGCGGAGTGAAGCAGACGCGCGCATTGGAACGCGAAATCAGGGAGAGTAAACTGCCAGACATATTGAATTTCGGATTTTTTTTAATATTGGGAATTCATCTCACAGCATACACACCCCGTTCAAAGAGAGAAGCAATTGAGGTGTCGAGAAAAAAGAGGTTGATGTCATGAGAGTGAAGTTCCGAAATCGAAAACATCCGATTGGCTTCAATTGCGGACGTTTCTCTCCTCCTCGCTCCTCTCTTTGATCGCCTCTTTTCTTCTTTTCTTCTAAATGCTTCCTCGTAGCCTTCCGGGTCTGATCCCTCGCCGTCTATTCTCTGTTTCTGCTAGGATGGCCTCCAATACGCCGCTGGAGGATGTCATGCGCGACAAGGTGAGCCACCACTCCGTGTTGTTGACTGCCATTGCTAACATTTCCTCTCTTTTTTCTTAATAGATCGCTCACGCATTCACACCTTCGAAACTCGAGATCCGGAATGACTCTCATCTCCATGCGCACCACGCTGCAATGGAAGGGTCAGTGTCGAAGGAGACGCATTTCCAGTTCGTTCCCCCCACAACCGAACTTTACACGACGGAATGTCTAATTTCTCGCAGTGTGACAATTGTCTCTGATTCTTTCGAGTCGAAGATGCAACCCGCTCGGCACCGCATGGTCTACGCATTGTTCAAGGAAGAGATGGCTCGTGAGGGCGGACTACATGCACTGCAGTTGAAGACAAAGACACCGGCCGAGGAGCAGCGCGAGAAGGAGAGAAAGGAGAAGGAGAAGGCATAGATAACCGATTGATTGGGCGTTCAGGTGCTCGTTGTTTTGAAGTCTTGTCGAGTCGAATACCCCCAGACGATGACTCGAAATGCATTACATTACATTGTACAGATCACCTACGATCACGGAACTCAGCTACCACGGTATACATCAGATTCATGTGTGAAGGAATCGATTATTAGACAGTATTACATAGGTTCTAGCACCAAACAGGGGCCGAGGAAAGCAACAATCTAGTATATACATCCATGCGCCGCGACATCACAAGCCCCGAAGCGAAAATCATCAAGGGCCATCGCATGTCAGACGAGCAGCTGTACACGAACACGCAGGTACAGCTAGGAGGCAAAGACACAAAGGAAAGAAGGGTTGAAAGACATTGCTTTTACACAAGAAGGAAATGCGAAGGGGTGGTATAACGAGGGGACAAAGACAAATGGGAAGATGCGAAGATGCGTCGATCCCCGGGGAAGGTCGTACATGGAGGAGGTGGGAAGGGGATGTAGTGCAACAGACAGATCACTACTTGCTCTTGTTGGCCTCGGTGACACCGACGGCCACACCGACGACAATACCAATAATGATGACTGGATAACTAGGTCAGCGGGTCGGCCATTAAATTGTGTGTAGGCAAGTAAATACTTACTGATGATAATCAGTGCATACCACTTCCAGCGCCTGGCGTTCTTCGCGCTCTGAATAGCGCTGTCAAGCTTGGTGTTGGCCTGCTCGACGTTGCGGTGTGTCTCCTCGGCTCCGTGTTGAATCTGCTGGACTGCAGGCTCTTGCTGCTGCACCAGCTCTGCAACCTCGTTGTATAGGTGGCTCAGTTCGATCAAATCCTGCTCGATCTTGCGGATGGCGGCGGAACGCTGCAGAGTAGCCTGACGGGCATCATTGGCCTGGCGAGTGCGAGTACCGGGAACCTATTCCTCACATATTAGCAACTGCCCACTCAGAAAGACCCAACTCGGGCAAAACATACAACAAAGCTCTGCTCCTGTCCCATGAGGACATTCTGCACACCCTGTTCCAACTCCTCGGGGGTAGCCTCGGGGTTGGCAATCTCGTATCGGCGGCGCACTTGCTCCTCCAGGCGCTTCTGGAAGTCACTCTGTGTGCGCTGGTACTGCTCAATCTCACGGCGCAGGTTGCGACTGACATTCTCGACCTGGCCCTGCACGCGCGAGTCGCCGGATCCAGGGGTCTCCTTGATACGCTTGAACTGATCGCGCAGGTAGCGCAGCGCGGTATTAATCTCATCCTCAATGTAGTCGAGGGTTTGGCGCGAGGCCTGGTCTTCCTTGCCGGTGCTCGAGTCCAAAAGGGCCTTTTGGGCGGCGACCAATTGGGTCTCGCGCTTCTTGGTCAGCTCGTTGATTCCCTCGTTCAGCTCTTTGCACTTGTTCAGAATCCCAGTTGGGCCACCAGATGAGGCTTGGTTGATGTTGGACATCTCTGTCGAGGAATTAGAGTCGGTGCAAGGTTGCGCGAATATCGGGTCAACATACCATAGCCACCATTTCCCTGCTCTGCAGCACCAGCCTGGTCATAACCACCACCATATCCGTAGCTCTGCTGTTGTTCCTGTCCTCCATAGGGATTGCTCTGCTGCTGACTTCCGTACGGGTTGTACTGGCCGTAGCCGCCTGAGTTGGAATCCCCTAAGCTCTGGTACTAGGGAAAGTCGCGTCAGAAAGCAGATTCAGGGAATCAAGGAGGTTGACATTGGTTCACTCACACTCATGATGTGCAGATTCTCAAGTTCTCAAAGGCGTGAAACAAGACAATGATAGTAGGGGGGGGAGATGAAGGAGGGAAGGGTGAGACGGGAGAAGTGGAGGTTACGGCAGAAGCGCCGGCGGTGTCAGGACAGCAAAGCCAATAAGGTCCGGGTGTTAGTCGCGCTGAATCGCAGAATTAAGCATTAATTTCGTTGGAATTAAATGAGTTTGTTTAATGGAGTTTCATGAGTTTCATAAGTTTCATAGGTCTTCGAATTTACTGTTTTATTAGGGGTCCCCCCCCCCTATTTTTAACATTTTCTTACAGAGTGGACAGTGCACCGTTTGTTCCTACATTAGTCCGAATACGACCTCCCTTGCGATTTTATGGAGTCTGAAATTGACCATTCACCCTGTGTGGCTGAGGCTGTTCTATTTAAGACACAAGTCAGATCGGCATGATTCGACGGCCAAAAGTGGATCGGCATTGCGGTGGGATATATTTTCCAAAGTACTGGGTACTTAGCCTTGATATGGAAGATCCACCTTTAAAGAAGTACCCAGTACTTATTCAAGGGTCTGCTGTGGCAACGCGAGTCTGCACGTCATGATTATGATGTATCGACTTGATGAAAGACATATGTATGTACGGAGTAACGGGCTATTCCAATAGGAATAAAATCCAGAGGACATCAAATGCTGTTACCTGGAGGCAAGTCGGAAATAGCATGCGTATGTAGGGAACCTAAAAGAGCTGAAAACTGGATGTCAACTGAGTGTGAAACTATGAAACTTGGCCAATCAGGACGTTTGGAAGGTTCCATGAGCCTCATGTCAGGCATTAACTAACTAGTTCTAACTATGTTGTATGTAAGGATTATATAAATAGGGAAATATGGTTTTTAACGTTGATGCCTCTTTATGTATCCTTTTAGAATGTGAAAGAATTATGACTGCCTGATTCAGACTGTCAAATGATGCAATATTATACAGAATATACCCTCCAGGTTATATAGAAAAATATCATAGAATATCATAAAGGCTATAATGTAGCCTCAAGTGCGAGGAACTATAACTTATGGGGATGTAGTCTATGCTAGACTATAATATATTATAGTACCTAGATAATAGGTGTTAATCCCTCTAGAGTTATATAGAGCTAGGTTTATAGATCTAGATCTACGCTTTTTATTAGAACCAAAGTGTATACATGTCTGTCCATTGATTTTGTCATCTTTAGTTCTACTACCGAGTAAAGGTAGAGTTACATACCGAATGGCATATATTGCCATGCTTTACGTACATATGAATACTTCTATCTTTATCAAAGATATTAACGCATCATACTTTACAGGAATTCCTCCTGCTCTCCGCAATAATCTGGTGCTAATTATTTTCTCGTTCGATCTATGTTCTACCCCTCTTCAGTAGCGATTCGACTGCATATGGTAGCGCTTACGCTAGACGAAAAAAGGACTTGCATATGAAACCTGCGTAAACCTATGTTACTCCAGACTGCAGGCCAAAGAGACCATGTCAGAGTCTCGTATGCACGGTTGATAAAAGTTCCTTTTTTCTGACAACCCTTTTTCCCGCTAATCTAGCCCTCGAGCCTCTCACTGGAAACCCACTGGCCATGAATCAGAGCGGAAGCTCAAGGGCTTCGCCATCTGACAGTCGTCGATCCAGATATAAGACCGAGGTGAAGCTGGAGCTAAATTTACTCGTTGGCCCTCGCCATAGGGATGCATTTAACGATATTAGCAAACTTCCTGACATTCTCCATGATAATAATATCCCGGGCCCGCAACTAATTCGCCTCGATAAAGCTCCAGAGGAATTTTCTGATACTGTCGGAAAAGGCGGGCAAAGCATTGTTCAGGCACCGTCCAAACCCTTCTCCGATCGGTTGCTTAATTTTGGTGAAGGCTCAAAGTCGGAGGAGAATGTCCGGCGTTCTACCAACTTCTGGCGTCGATGTGTCATGAAACAACTGCGCCATGGCCGACCAGGGCAATCGCATCTTGGCCAGGTTGAATTTGCTCTGAACGAACTCAACATCCTATACAATAATAAATTCAAGAGCTCGAATGCCGTTCGACGCGAGGGCTGGGGCTTTGCTTGGATGCCTTGGAGGAGCGATCCTCCTCTCCCCGACTACCCTTACTGATACTTGAGCGAGCCAGATTTGACTTGTCCATGTTCATCCGCGACTTTGACTCATCTACCACGACTAAGACGCCTTCGCACATAGATGGGTATCACAGTATACCGATGAGGCGACCGCCCGAAAGATATTGCAAGCCGATGATGAAGATCGATTTGCGAATGTTTGACGTATTCGCATATGGGCTGGTGGTATGGGCGAGCCGCGATGTTCACCAAAAATGCGCATAGCCCCATGGTTGATGTCTATCAGGATACCATCAAAGAGAAGTGGGGGAAGCACATGACTTATGGAATGGTATTGAATGATATGGAATCCTATACAAAAAGCAAACCCCAGCATCGGGAGAGTTTGCCATTGAGAATTGAGACCTCCTGGCTCCTGCGAATGATCGCTTTCATAGCTCGATCGCCCTCGAATGATTCCAGGCCTGTTTCTATCACCGACTACGGACCCGAGGTGAATCAGATCTTAACCGTACTTTCACTAGCACTTAATGATCATCCTCTTCTTCGAAGCCCACGACTGTGGATGTATCTCCAACAGGGCCTCGCTCAACTCCCGGTTCCGTTCCCCCGTTTGGTCAAACGCGAAGCGATAAGCGGAACAGAGGATCCCATATCTTCAAATCAGCTACTGGTGATGATTGAAATGTGTGTAGCTCATGTACACACGGCTCAAGCAAGGTTGCAAAGCCTAAACAGTTGGCTTCTGGAAATCTCCACGTTCTACATCAAGACCTGGTTGCCCATTCTGCGTCCTGGCGTGTCAAGACAATGGGTTTACGAAAGGTATCATCGGGTATTTGTAGGTTTAATAGGACACAATCTAGAGGATATTTACTTGATTAGCCACGATCCTACAGAGCCATGTTTTCAATTACATCCCGACCGAATGGCAAGGCTCGATGTTCTAATCCAACGGATTCGGGAGAATGGCATGGATCCAATCGACCCTCATCATCATGCATGGTACGCTCTGGCAAGAGCCCGGAGTAGGTTTTTACCGTGCTGTTGGAGGAGCATCCTTGATAGGTCTACATGCCACCTCATAATTGACATAGCACTCCAATATATACAGCAAGCCGGATGCGATTCCAGTGTAGCATGGGCCTTGTGGGGGAAAAGTGTCGCCGACGAGGATCATCCTCTTGAGTTGGACCCTTCAGATTTCAGATTTCTTGTCAACGACATTTCCGAGGGAGGTCATCGTCATGACGATCTGTGTAGAACTGAGCGAATGCTAGTACTTCTTGACAGCGACATTTTCATCGGGCAGGAATTTGAACCGGAGAATATGATGTTCGTTTCTCTTTACCTTTGTTTTCCTATTGTCAAACCAGGAACTAACTATATACCACACAGGTCAGTTTTTGAGGTGTATCTGCGCAGCCTCGTTGTGAAAAAATCTGCCCTCATTGTCTGTCGACATTTCCGGCGAATTGCTTGTATGAACCAAGCGAACCCCCACTCCAAGCTATTTTACTTGGGTAGTCTTGCATCTCTAGACAGAGATGTGATTGGTAGTAGTGTCTCTAACTCTCCGCGGACTACAACTCTACAAGATACTGTCCGCGCTGGCTGCTATGAGGTGGTTCAGTATCTTATCCAGATCGGGTTTAATGTCACCGCCAGAGACGTCAACAATCACCTTGCTATGAGTTGCCGGGATACTCGAGAAGGGCGCGAGTTTCTCAATCTGCTTATCAGCATTCATCTAACTGCGATATTCAGCTCGAACTCCCCCTAGGATGGGAGTCAATCCACTATTCTAATGGCCAGGTGGGGTATCGTGAAACAAGTATCGGCGGTGATATTGACTCAATTACCTTCAAGGAGCCTAAAGTAAGCTTGTTGCAAGATCGACTAATTGCTTTACCCGAACGACAACTCGAATGTCTAGAAGATAGCCCTTCTGAGGCGTACTTTTTGAACCCCATCCGGTTTTTAAGATCATTTCGGTACGACGCAACTTTATCCTTCGCAAACGAAAAGAGCATAATGAGGAATGGTTTCGTCGGGAGTTTCAGAAGAGAATTCAACCGGAAATCAAGGCTGCGGGAGATGATCGAAGATGGTACCGGCTCACGGCCAAGCTCATCATTTCCCTCGCCTCTCTGCCAAAGTTGCTTGCCAACTTGAACCTTTTACTGATCTTTGTTCCCTTGTGCATCGTGAGCAGCTTTTGGGGCTGGAGCCCACAAGTTGGTTTTCATTTTTGGGATTTTAATTTAGATTATAATAATCTATTAAGACCTATGGGATTTGAACCCATATTATAATGAATATCTATTATAAAATAAAAAATCGGCGCGACTGAAGGCAGGACGACCCAAGCCCCGGATTTCTGGGCGACGGTATAAGTTACGCTGCACATCATTATCGACAAGACGTAGTGACGAGCCAGAGTCAGGCCTCGAGTACTCAAAGTCAACTAGATACGGATCGTGGAAGACGGGTGTTCCCTGCTGTCGATCATTAAAGAATACTAGCGAATGACTGCTGAGGTTCTTGTGGGTCCAGCGGTCAACGTGCAGCATTCTCACCGTTCTTGCTAGGAAGTGAGCGATTTGGAATCGAAGTCCAAGTTCGAGGGCTAGAGCTTTGTTCTCGGTTGCTTGTCGAATGAGCTCATGAAGTGAAGATGGAGGCATGCTTTGCGTCTTCTCTGGACATGTGAAAAGGAAGGCGAATCGGCCTTTGTCTGGCTGGTCCAGAAACCCCTTGAGGGGTAGAGTTCCCACTTTATTGGCTCCAGAGGTGGCCAACAGGTTTGCCAGCTGGGTTACGTTTGGGGGGATAGAGGATATTGAGGTTTCAGGATTATTGGTGAGCTGAGACTGGGCAAAGTCTCCTGGCGGAATATAATACTTATGTTCGATCAGAACCCTTTGTTTCTCGACATTTCCACGTGCCTTAACCGTCTCTATCTCGCCTGTGTGTAGCATTGGCTGTTCTGACTCGGAAGTCACTTTAGTTTCTTGCAGATACAGCACCGGCGAGAGGGTTGTTGCGCTCGGGTGCTGGGTAAGCCTTGAATCTGAACATGTCGGGAGAGTCAAAGACGCTGTGCATCCTCATTTGCAATCAAATGAGTAAGTACACCATACACTTCGTAGAGCCACCGTTATCATACTATTGCTGTCACTATAAAGGCTCAAAAACACTACGTGCGGATTCGTTAGTATTATATCTGAGACTCGGTTCAACCACTTCAGCCACGGTTGGGTTGCCATTTGGAGCAGTTTAACTACAATGGATTCTAATCTTGCTGTCATATAGCATGCAATAGGTAGTATACCGTAGCTGTGTAGCTGCGTAGTAAGCCCTAGGCCATGCCTCCCCTATTTCCGCTTGGGTTATAAGGTGTTCACACCTACAGGGGAAGCCTTGTCTTTCTTCTTCTCCAGGGACTACACTAATTATTGAAACATTGGGACCATAGTCCCTGATACTACATTATCATTTAAATGGTCTTTATTGACGCTATTAATCTCAACCTTTTATATAGCGTTCCTATACAAAGAGTCTTAGTAGGTTCAGGACAATTATGTTGATTATTTTCATTTATATTTGTGAGTCATATATATACTACATGTAAATTAAAGCATCATATCATACCACGTCTCACGATCTGCACAGCAGTTTTAGAACACACAGAGGGTCCTGCTCCAATGATGCAACCAATGAAAAAAAAAGTACAATCCCAGCGCAGAGATACTTGCAATGCGAATGCCAATGCCGAAAGAACAAGAAAAACAAAATATTACAAAAAGAACACCAGTGAAAATCCTTACTCGGGCTTGGATTCGCGCCGTTCCGTATCGAGCGGAGCTTCGGGCATGTCGTCCTCGGCATCAAGAGCGTTCATGTCATCTTCCTTCGCGTTGAGGTGGCGGAAGATGGCGTAGAAGACGAGACCACACAAGAAGGATGCACCGGCAAGACCAGTGAACATCCACATGATGGCGGGATCGAAGGCGGCGGGGGTGAGGGCCTCAGCGAGAGCGGAGCCGAACGCGTTCGTGAGGAGGTACATCGACTGCACAAAGGACTTCATGCTGGGCGGGGCCTTGGTGTAGGCGTACTCGAGACCGGAAACAGAGGCGAAAATCTCAGACAGACCGATGAAGACATAGGCCGGGGTTTGGATGGCGATGTGCACTCTGTTGCCTTGGGCTGAGCCGTCAACCTCGGAGGCTGCGCACAGAGGTTGGCCGTAGCAGGGGCCGGCGGAGTAGATCAGGTGCTGCACGATAGCGGCGTACATCATGGCAAGTGAGGCAACAATGAAGCCAAGGGAGATACGGGTGATCGGGGGGAAGGGGATCTTCATGCGGCGCATCACGGGGTAGATGCAGGATTCGAGAATGGGAATGAAGACGATGATAGAGATGGGGTCAAAGTTCTGCATCAGATCGTTAGGAATGCCGTGGCCTTCCATCTGGCCAGCTTGGGTGACGAAGTTGCCGGAGAACTGTCCGTAGACGACCCAGTAGATCGGGTAGAAGGCGAACACACGGCAGGCGACCAGGGCACGCTTCAGCTCGTCGATAAAGTGGTCGTCCCAGCTGACAGCCGACACGCCATTGTGCTCGTTCTGCCATGAGGGCTTGGGGGCATCCATGTCGCGGTTCTTAATCATGATCCAGAGGGCGCGGAAAGCGTTCGTGATGACGGAACCCTGGGGTGGGCGGACAACGTAGTATTTGCGGCCGAGAACAATGGTCAGGGTACCGACCATGAACATGCAGAGACAGAGAAGGTAGGCGGGCCAGAAGTCGATGTACAGCTCCATGTAAGGAGTGGCGAGAAGGGATAGGGAACCGAGGTTGATGCATCCGTAGAAGATCATGTAGATACGCTGGATGGTCAGGGCCGGGTCGATGATGACGCGCTCGCCCTTCTTGGTGGTGGTAACAGCCATCTTCTTCCGCTTGTACTGATCGGCAATCAAAGGAGCGACGTTACTCTTGATACCACCGGTACCAAGACCGATGATCAAGATGGCGACAATGAAACCACCGATACCCGAGCCGTGATCCAGGGCAGTGGGGATGGAGGTGCAGACGAGGACGAGCAGACCAACCATGTAGACAATACAGAACAGCACAATGGTCTTGTACTTGCCGAGATACTGATCGGCGATAATGGCACCGAGGATGGGGGTAACATAACACCAGAACTGGAAGAAGGTAGTGAGACCGGTGGCACCCTGGTGATCCATACCGAGCGCACCACGTCCCTCGCTACCATCCCGGGGTCGCTGGACGTAGTTCTGGAACAGACCAGACATGCCGTAGTAGGTGAAACGTTCACACAGCTCGACGACGGCCACCAACCAGGCGGAGAGGGGAAGGTTCTCTGCGATATGGCGCAGGGAAGTCTTCTCCGAGAGAGTGGGTTCGCCACCATCCGGGGTAATCTGGTTCTCCTTGTCGAAATCGGCATCCATGGCCTTTTCATTCAGGACGACATGCTGGGTGACCTCTTCATTATCGTAGGCCGGAGCTCTGAAGATAGGGTTAGCTGCGCTCTGGGATTTCCCACACACAGAAAGATACATACGCAGTAGTATCAATCTCACGGTCTGTGGACGCCATGGCTACGAGACCAGTTGATGCCTTCTCTTTCAAGAGGGCAAGAAAATTAATCACAATCAGAGTAGAGAGAAAGAGATCAAAAAAAACGGGCGTGAATAATACTATATATGCAATTTTTCCTTACTCAACAACCGCTGTTGAGTGGGACCGGAGCACTGTCTTATCTCGAGAAAAAAAGAAAAAAGAATCAAAAATCAAAAAAGCAAAAAAAAAATCAAAAGGCACGCCATCCCCCATGCCCCCATGCCAAGAAGGCTCAACTGAGCAGGTCCAATATGGGCCATTGTTCGCGCAGGTCGACCGTGGATGCGATCGGCAGTGGTTATCGTCCAACGGCGAATGGCTGAATTGGAGGAAATTGACCCACGAATGTAACCAGACGGCACACAGAAGTGAACGGTCAAGCAACAAAAGGCCGAGTACGGAGTGGACTTGACTCAGGTTTGGGTCAATCAGAGTAGCGAATAAGCTTGTCTTGCATTTCGGCATCTGGGGATTTCTGGAAGGGCCAGTCCGAGTCCACTTTGGTGTTATCGAATCACATTGAGATTTCCAGTCGGAGATTGCCGGTGAAGTGGAAAATTTCCCAGTTGAGAACGTTTCCGGTGGAATTCGCCACGAGGGCAAATTATCTTTGTGTTTTTTTTTTTTGTTTTTTTTTTGGATCACCGGAGTCAAGTCGATACTCCGCCAAGTTTGAAGTTGGAATATAATCGGTAATCTCATTGACCGAGATCTCATATTGTAAGTTGTGTGTATATTGGTGTTGGCCACCTTGAACGCCTTCGGGTGAGGCGGCAGGGATTGGACCGGGGAGAAACAAATCCGTTTTCGATCATTGGACGTTTGAAAGGGATTCTTCTTCTGCAAAAGTCAATGATCATCAATCTTCACCATATGATTGTCCACATTCCCCCATATTCCTTTCCGAATGTAACGTTGGGGCCATTTTTCCCCTCGATTTCCCGTTGTGTGTGTCTTAAAAGCTTGAACCCGCTTACCCCGGCACCTTGTCTGACAGTAACCAATAGCCAATACCATTCAATGTCATCTGAAGTGATGACCTGAGAGAAACCATTTTCATTCCTATCGTGGTCTGGTCTGGTCTGATCTGGTCTGGTCTTGGTTCCGGGGTAATTATTCTCTCGTAAAAAAGTGTCGAGTAGAGGCGATGGGAGGTGGATCTGGTTTGTGCTCGGTGCCTGCCAAGACCACGGAAGATAAGAGAGAGGATTCTGTTAGTCTTGTTCATTAGTAGGCGATTTTAAGGTAGATGTGGTAGATGTATAGACATCGTAAGTTATTTCATAGGAAAGAATTTTTTGGGTGAAATGGGAAGAGAGAGAGAGAAAAAAAAATAAAAAAAGGAGAAGACCAAAAAGATCAAAAACAGATCAAACAGCAGAGGGACACCGCTCATAAATAGAATCACCAAGAAAACACCAAGAGTCATAGCACACGCCCTTTGAGCTCCGATCTCGCTTGTGGATAGGGAAGAGCTTTAGGTCCACCAACAAGAGAGCTTATCACTAGCATTCACCCTCAAATGGCGTAAGCTCCCAAGCCTTGGGGGCCTCTCAGCCATCATCCGCCAAGTGCCTATCGCCTTAAGAGAGAGTTCCACCAAGACTTTCCTAAGATTCTCCAAGATATTGGCAATCCCGACACCGGCGCCCGAAATATATCACACGTCAAGTCCCCGGGTTCGATGAGTAAAATCTGTCAACGTCAAGCTTGGAATATTCCACGAGGCTACTTCGGAGTACGGAGTACGGAGTATATTGTTTCAATATGGCCCTTTGAATTGCGTGCGCTTCCATTGGCTGACTCGCCAAGCCCAATTGGTTAGCATGTTTTCTTTATCTCAACCCTCCAAGTCCCATGTGATACCGTGGCGACCTTCCAATTGAACCAGCTAGGATTACTCTCTGTACAGAGTGGTTGAACCAATATGAGAACACCATTGTTCCGACATATTGCGATGTCGGCCCCCAACCAAGTACGGAGTACGGAGTAGAAATTCTGATATTGCGACATGAGCAGCCACTCGGAGCAACTCGGTCGATCTCCGTGGGTGAATTATTGCTGTGGATTGTATCCAAACTATCCTAGTGCTGACCTAGCATAAATGCTATCGCTGGACTCCTTACTCCGTACGGAGTATTTGTGATGAGAATGGCTATCCATGAACTGCGAAGAAATCTGACAGTCAGATCTTGAGAGGTTGTTTCTAGGTGTTTGATAGGGCATTTTGATCCCAGCTGAGACTTGGAAGGATATCATTACTGCGCCGATTGAAGATTTTTCAGAAGCAGCTTGCTTACCTCGATAAATAACTGTGTCCT